ACTGAAAGAGAGACCAGGATAAGCTTCTGCCAGCAGGGTCGAGAGCCTCCTCGACTGGATCTCCATTCGCACTTGCTGGGGCGACTTGTCGGGCGAGATGTACAGCGGGACGGTGCCACCTCCGACGCTCTGCGCGCAGAAAGCTCGCCACCCGTTCCTGCCAGCGGGGTCTCGTAGCTGCCGTGCGAGAGCTTGGGCGCGAGGTAGTGCGACACCATCGCCACCCTGCACGAGGACGTTGAAGCGCTTGGAGGGGACAGCGGGGTCGAGTCGGACCATGTCATTGGTGAGGCCGGCAGCGCGAATCCACTCCTCGAGGCCTTGCAGCGCTTGAGCGGGACCAACCAACTGCGGTGCCCCGATCGAGAAGATCCTCGGGTTGGGCTGACGGGCCCAAGCCTCCAGCTCTTGGAAGTCCATGAGGGGCAGCTCTTTCTCCGCAAGGGCCAAAGCCTTGTTGATGTCACCGATCTGCTTGCGCATGGCAGCCTGCTCGGCCTCCAGTGCGTCGGCTCGCTGTCCGATGGAGGCGATGTCGCGCGTCTGCACTGCGAGGGATCTGTTGACGGCCTCCTGCTGGGTCTGAAACATGCGCACCAGCTGAGTCTGGCATGACGTAACTTGCGCCATAGAGGCGGCGGCGATAGCATCAGTGGCTTGACGAATGCAGCTCTGCAGCATGGCCTGCATGTCCGTGCCGCCCGCGTCCACGGGGGTGGCCATCCCGCCGATGGGTGTGCCCGCCGCAGGGGGAGCAGCGTGGCCGTCGGCAGGAACAGCACGTTCATGCCACGGATCTCCCCCAGGATGTTGCCACGGGTCGGCCTGAGCATGATGAGGTCCAGCTTGAGGATTGCCCGTGGTTGTCTGCTCCACCTGCATGCCCATCCGCTCCTGCGTGGGGAAGGTGGCCGCGGCCTCGATGGCGGCGGCGAGCTCCTCTTGAGCAGCGCGGTCGAGTCCAGCAGGGCCATGGCGTGCACGATCACTGGCGGGAGAGCCCGAGGCATCCGCTTCGCCGTCGGAGCGAGGGTGGCCCCGCCGAGCGCGCCTCCGCGCCGGGGCTCGCTCGTTGGTGCTGCGGGAGGCGGAACGAATGTCCTCGGGAGGGGGCTGCTCCTTGCCTTTGTCAGCCCGCCTGCGGCCGTCAGCAGCGCCAGGACCACGGTGGCCGCCACCAGCGCGCCCAGCCCTGCGGCGCTCCTCCTCGGCCGCCATGCGTTGCGATGGAGAGCCCTCGCGGGCACAAAACTGTGGGTCCAGGTGGACCAGTCTTTGGCGGCAGCTCGCCCTGGGGGTGGCTGCAAAGGAATCTCGACTCCTGGCCGCGGCACAGCGGTATCCATTTGGACGCCGCCGCGCGCCATGGCCTTGAGCCAAAATGGCTACGGAGGAGGAGGAGGAGGAGGAGGAGGAGGAGAGGACGGGGCCCAGGTAAACGGGTGGGTAGCCAGCACATGGACTGCGGGCGCCACAAGGATGAGGGGCTGCAGGTAAAGGGGGGGAGAGGGACACGCGGCCCCCAGTCGGGTGTCAGGAGGGGGTGTGGTTCGGGGACGGGGACGCAGGTAGTGGGAGTGGCTGGCAAGTTAGGCAGTGGTGCTGCGGGCCAGGTGTGGCAGGGCCGACGGCAATCAGCGCCGCGGGCGCTTTCCAGTCCAGGCGTCGTGGCACCCGGAACTCCGGGCCTGGTCCCCGTCGCGCCCGTTACCCTTAGCGACCTCCCTTTTCCTCTGCACCCCCTGATAGAGCTTCTGCTCCCGCTCCCAGTCCAAGTAGACATCTGCGCTGCTGAACCATCGGTCCACGCGGTAGTTGTTGGCGCTCATGTCTTCCAGGAATTTGCCCATGATCCACTGCTGCCAGCGGCGTGGGTCGAAGGGCACCTGGTCTTTGGATTTGCCCTTGCCCTGCTCCTTGCACATGCGCGTGCACCGCGAATGCCAGGCTACGGTAAATTCGCCCCCTCCCCCCTTTTCCGTTCGCAGCCTCTTCAGGTGTGTCACTGCTGTCTCGTTTGGGAGGCGCTGCCATCCAACGCGGAACGCGGCGCGTGTCCGGCTGGCGTCGGCGTGGCTGCGGCCGCCCTTGTAGAGAGAGCTGCGCGATTCTGGCTGGCGCCAGGGCGCGCTACCTGAGCCCCAGCCAGCGTCGTGGGTCTGGCCCCAGTAGCGCCCCTTAGTTCCGCCCCAGTCCTTGGCGTCATGTCTGCGCCACGGTGCCCCCGACGCGCTCAGGTTGCGGTCGCGGTCGCGGTCGCGGTCTCGCTCTTCGGCGCGTGGCTGGTCGTCCTCTCTGGACTCGCGCCTCACCGCCGTAGCGCACAGCTCCCAGGCGACTGGCCCCCGCACCCTGCCGCGCGGGCGCTCTGGGAGGTGCGGGGAGAGAGGGGTGAGCGCAGGGCGTGGGTCCTCGGGGCCCTTGGAGCGGTCCGCATGCGCAGGTTCCGATCGTCGGCTACGGCCTCGGGACGCAGGATTGGCTCGGCGGGTGCGCGGGCAGCCCTCTGGTCGGTACTGCGGGGGTCGATATCGGGGCTGGCGTGCCGCTCACTCTGAGGACTCGCCTTGGCTTGGTGCTCTTCAACTGCGCCCGAATCAGAGGACGAGAAGACGGAGTGGACCTCGCTCAGGGCCTCGGCGAGGCGCAGCTTCTCCTCTTTAGCCCGGTCTCCGCTGCCCCAGTCAGGGTCCTCCTCCTTGGGCGGCATGAGGGGTGCTGGTTCGTAAGTGGAGTCCTGCGTGCTGAATTGCTGCGGGTAGGGCTCAGGCTGGGGCCTGTCCTGCATGTGTCCTGCGGACGCCGCTTTGTCTCCCGCGGTGTCGACGCCACTCGAGGGGTTGTCGAGGGCCGCTGCTGCTTGCTGTGTACATTACCTTGGGCACTCTCCAGAAAGGTAGCTGCGCGGAACGCTGCGTCTCCACGGAGGACGCACACGCGTAGCGTCCTGTCGCCGACGCCTCGCACTTCCAGCCACTCTCCGCCGATCTGGACGAGCAGCGCCCGCGCGTCGTGCTCACGGGCGACGATGCGGAGGACGGGTCCGAAGACGGCTCCATCCAGGGGCTGCGTCGCGAGGGGCTCGTTGCAGTCCGCAGTGCTGAACCACGTGGCGCGGGGAAGGGAGTCACCCCTGATGGCCACGCAGTCGCCGCACTGGATGCATTGATTGTCCGTGGCAGCTGGGCACAGGGAGCCCAAGATGGGCGTGCCCGGGACCTGCCCCTGCAGCACTTCGTGGCTGCCGTGTTCTGCACCCCTCCCGAGGGGTACAGGTGTTGGGCCGACGGGTGGCGATGCCCCGCCGGACTTGGTGGCCGTGGGCCGCGTGGCCGGCTGGGCTGGGGTCGGCTCGTCGCCACGCGGTGTGGGTGGAAGCGAAGGGGTAATGGGTGAATCGCCTCCGTTAGTGGGCGGTTTGGTGGGTGCTGGGCAGGGGCTGGTTGACTGGACTGGTGTCACGCGCCTTTCCTTGGTGGGCCTTGATGACTGGACTGGGCTGGGTCCCTGGGTGTCTGCTCGGGGCGCACGCCCGCCCGTGGGTTGGTGTGCTGTTGAGCCCCGCTGGCTGTTGCGCTTCCAGTGGGTGGCTGGGCGGAGGCAGCGGCGTCGGGATCCCGGGATGGGGGTGGCAGTGCAGAGGCGTGGCGGTCGTAGTAGCTGCGCTTAGCCTCGTCCCAGGCGGCTGCGCGTCGCTGCGTCTCCTCTGGGCTGGGGCGCGCTGCGCCCTCTGCCGTTGAAGCGGGGATGCCCGGTAGCGCGGGGAGAGGTTTGTCCCCTGCTCTTGGTCTTGGGTATACGTCAGGGCCGTATTTGCTGAGTACCTCGCTCACGGTTGATGGGGACATGTCCCATTGGTGGATAAGGCATTCCTTGCAGCACCAGCCCGCGTGCCAGCGCTTGGCAAGGCACATCTCCCTCATCAGCTGTACGGGGGGGAGCCCGTGGACCAGGCTGAAGCCGTCGCGGAGTCCATGGATCCGCGGCGTGCCCGCACATGCCTGGGTAGGCCTGTCCCGGCCCCCACCTGTGCCCCTCCGTGCCCGAGGGGCATCCGTCACATCTCCAGAGGGCCGTGGGTAAGGGCGTCGGACACAGCCCAGGAAGGGCACGCGTTGCGCGGACAGGCATGTCGTCGGGGCGGTCGTTGATCCAGTTCTTGAAGTCCACGTCGTCTGGAATGGGCTGCCGCTCGGAACATTGCCTTCGTAGTCCAGCAGCAGATGCAAAGCCAGGTCTGGTCCTTCCCCTGGTAATATTCCGTCAGCCTGTTGCTGCTGATGGTTTGGCGGAATCGTTTGCTGACGTATGCGCTTTTATCGTACTTGAAGGGGCCGCGCAGGCATCCTTGACAGTAAAGTCGGCCTTATACTGGTCATTCCTCCACCTGGTGTCTCGGCTGTCTTGTCTAACCATGGGGGCCTTAGTGTCACTCCGGGGCGTGGCCCGAGAGGGGCCGGTGCGTCCAGGTGCAGGCGCGTGTAGGAGTATCCTCCACCTACCCAGGTGACGCTGCTTGCCTGCTTGGTCGGGTCGTGTGTGAGGTGGCCGCACGGCACAAGCCCGTGTGCGAACTCCTCAAGCCACAGTTCTCCTCAAGTCAGCTTTGGCATCCTCGACGAACACATAAGCATGTGGTTCGCCAACGACTCCAGGCCCCCCGCCCCTCCAGTCTGTGCAGCGGGCGCGCCTCGGCCCACCCAGACATCTGCCGACATGACTTTTTCAATCCGCGGCCCCAAGCAGGTCCCGGCCCCTTCCCCGGGAGTGGTTCTTCGTGCTGGTTCCCCGGGGGGGGCTTTCCGTACCGGATCCATGTCTCATGGCCCCTGGGCCCGACTGCGGACCCTGGAGGCCGAAATCCAGGGAAAACGCCGGATAGGAAAACTCGATCCTCGGATCTCTGGGCACGACTCGAAGCCTCCCGCCTCTCGAGTCTCTGCAGCGGGCGCGCCTCGGCCCCTCCCGTGGGGCCCCCCCAGGGGGCGGCCGCAGCCGTCCTCCACGGCCTGCGGGCCCGCCAGCAGGCCCTTGGCCGGGTCCGCTGGCGCCTCGAAGAGGTCGTCCTCGTCGTCCTGCGCGGTGCCCTCCGCGATGATGACGGGGGCGGCAACCTGGGGCAGGGCGACGAGATCTATCAATGTCCACTGCTCCCTGGCCGAGCCCGTCCTCAGCCCAACAGCGGTGCATACGCCACGCCCTCCTGGCTTGGCCAGGACGGCGCGTACACCGCTCCTGGGCCCAGGAAAGGCCCAGCCAGGGAGCAGCGGATATGTATAGATTTCGTCGCCCGACGGGGCCAGCGGCCTGTTATGTTGCATCTTGGGGGGGGCCTCGTCTGTCCCGTCGCGGCCCTATCCGCGTCGACTCCGTGTCGAATCCATGTCGGCTCGTCGGATCCGCGTCGAGTCCGTGTCGAGTCCACGTCGAATGCACGCCAAATCCGCGACGAGTCCGCATCAAGCCCGTGTCGGGCACAAGAGACGACACCAGTTCTGGGGACGGGCGAGGTCCAACGTTGGGGCGGGGAGGCCAAGGTTAAGACGAAGCCAGGACGAGAATGAAACTGGGTGAATCTCTGAGACCTGGCTGCTCTGGAGGGTGTCTCGGGCGCCGCGGCCTTCTCAGAACGTCCCGGAGAGCTCTGAGAGCGTTCCGAAACGCTCTGGAACGGATGCATCCTCGTCCTAGCCCCGTCCGAAAGTTGGATGCTAGGACCCCAGCATGGCCTCGTTGGCGCTGACACTCTTTTGATCGGCGGCATTCTGGATCCAAGTTGCGGGCGTGGCTCCGGCAGGGCTGCTGCGGTGCCAAGTGGGCACCAAATGCGGCAGGAGCGGGAGGGATGGAAGGGGGCAAGGGTCGAGGACGGCTGAAGCGCCCTCAGAGCATGAAGCACTCTGTGAGGTGCTGGAATCGGGAGCAGACAGTCGCCGCTGCCAGTGCGCGCGCAGGTGCATCCCAAATCCAGAATAAGGAACTGAACCACGTGTCGCCGCGCCGTTTGTTCTCTGCGCGCCCACATGGACGCCAGTGGCACCACGGCAAACCCACGGCAAACCCTGCGTCCCGCACCCCAGGTAGACCAGGCCGCCTCGCGGCAAAGCCCACGGCGAGCCCACCACGCACGAGGCGGCGGAGGCATCGTTGGCGCCGACACACGTCCCGAGGATCATCGAAGCGTGCCCTCGCCGTCCCGCCTCCCCTTCCGGCTTGGCGGCGCGCACACAGGGGGGAGGGGCAAAGGGGGCCGTGCCCTCCGCGTTGGGGACCGGGCGAGGGGAAGACGAAGATCCGGGAAATATGAAAAACGTGGAGGATCCTGGGATGTGTGTCTACTTATCTGTGATCCTGGGATGTGTGTCTACTTATCTGTGTTCCTGATATGACCTATATGAATGATCCTGGGAAATATGAACAATATGAAGGATCCTGGAATGTGTGTCTACTCACCTGTGTCACCCGGCGCCGTCAGGCAGGGAGGCCAAGGCGGGCTCCCGTGGGATCCTGGGCTGGCCTTGTGCGCGCCCGCGCAGGGGCACGCGGGTCCGGGCAGGCAAAGAAAAGAGGCGGACACCGCCGACACCGACGACGACGGCGGCGGCACTAATGCGTGTGGATTAGGACGAGCATGATGTCATGATAAGATTGGCTCGGGATGCGTTCCAGGATTTCCACCGTGTCCAGCGGCCCTCCTTTCTGAAGCCCGTGCGGAGCACTAGGGCATCTTGGAAATCTAGGAAGCCGTGGAAACCTTCGAACGCACCATTATCATGACCTCTTGCTCCTCTGATGGATGGCCTCCCATGGGGTGCATCCCTGAATTCCCATACTTGTCTGAGTGGTCTGACTCTCTCGGGCAAAAAGCTCTGGGACTCGGGGCGAGAGAACGCCTGCGTCCAAGGTCGGCGAGGCCTCGGCCTCTCAAGACACCAGCAGCACGAACAGGCGGAGGTGGCGGGGCCGCTTGGGACGGTTCTGGGCCAAACTCCCCTCCAGGGGGCTTCAGGGAGCTTTCCCACGAAAGCCCCCTCAGTGAGCATCGCTTAACCGATCCCTATCCCCAGTGGCGTGGCGTTGGTCCCACTGGCCGACTTACCCGCTTATGACTAGGTGGGGATGTATGTAATATTCCTTTGGGCTTCGCGTGGTCCATCCCCACCTAGGAGGGTGGGCTGGTGTGGCTGAGATACCATGGCAGTGGGGATAGAGGTAGGTTAAACGATGCTGAGTTAAGGAGATGTGCTCTGGATAACCCTCCTCCGACGGGAAGGAGGGGCGGAGTTTCTCTTGGAAAACACCCATGCATGAGGGGGTAGGAAGGGGCCAGGCGGGATTTCCCCAGCCCCAAAGAACTGCAGGGGTGCTTGAGGAGGTCTGGAAGAAATTTCTCCTGACCCGAAAAAAATGCCGCGCGGTATGAAAATGGTTGGGGGCCTTCCCAGGACCCCCCCCCTGCTGAAGGGTTCAGAGCGGTTCAGGAAGGCCTTCCCAGCAAAACCTCTCTCAGGGGAGGTCCGGAGGGGGGCTTATTTGCAGCCGCTCTGTAAACTTTCTGGGAACGCTCCGAGAGCTTTTTTCGAGCCGCTCCGAGGCCTGCTTCGGAGCGACCCAGCGGTCGTTTGGAGCTGCAGCGGAAGCCCCAGACGCCCCGAGGTGGCCCCTTACGCTGGCTCAAGATATCGGCAGATTGGTCATGCTAGCCTCCCACACACCTCCCGAGAGGCCCCAAGACGGACACGAAACGGCTCCAAAGGCTCTCGGAGCCATAACGGAAAGGGAAACAATGGTTTCTGCCTTCTCGCATTGTCCCCTCCGATGAACCTCTGAGGCCTCTGAGGCCTCAAGATGCCCCCCAGATGGCACCAGAGGGGCCCAAGAGGGCTCCAAGCTCAAGAGGCTCCTAAGAGGCCCCACTAGGCGGTTTTTCAGCTTCCGAATTCGGGGGAATTGCTACACCCCCCATGTTTGAGCCATGGGGCCCAAGATCGCCACAAGAAGGCCCTAAGACCCCACCAAAGGGCCCCAAAAGAGCTCCCAGACACTACAAACAGCCAGTAGAGGTCGCCAAGAGGGCCCCGATACAGCCCCAAGAGAACCCCTAAGAGGGCCCCAAGACCAAGAGGGCCCCAAGATAGCCCCAAGGGTCTTCCCAAAGGCGATCACAACACAAAATCCGCGAAGACCTCCTCCTCCTCCTCCTTCTCCTCCTTCTCCTCCTCCTCCTCCTTCCCCCTTCCGCTTTCTCCTCATCCGCCTCGTCATGTTCCTCGTCCTCCTCATCCTCCTCCTCATTTCCCCTCCTTATACATACTACCTCCTCCTCCTCCTCCTCCTCCTCCTCCTCTTCCTCCTCCTCCTCCTCCTCCTCCTCCTGATCCTCCTCTTCCTCCTCCTCGTCATCCTCCTCCTTCTGGCCATTTCCCTCCTCCTACTCCTCCTTGTTATAGTCTTAAAAAGAGTCGTCCTCCTCCCCTCCTTCAGTCTCTTCATTCAAATAAAATTCATGGGCATCGTTTCTGGGTGGGCTGGTGGGATACGCGATGTTTCCACATTCTTTGCAGAACGAATGTTTTCTGGACTTAGAGTTGGACCTGGATGGGGATGTAGATGTGTGAATGGTCGACTTTGACCAGGCTTTGGAACAGTTTCTGCGCAGGCTACATACCTCTCTCAGCGTGCTCGGAATTCATGGCATCTCGTTGGCATCAACGCTGGAGGACGTCGCGTCCACAGCTGCACCCGCGAGCAGAAGCCGTGGCGACCCCCCACCCCGTTGTCCGCCCGCGGTGAAGCTGCCGCGGAAGCAGATCGCTTCGCCAGGCGTTGGGAAAGTGCTCAGGGGCAGGATTCATTGGCTAAGAAACTCCTGCATTGAGGAGTACACTTTTTTGGACCACTTGGATCGTAGAAATGCGCATGTGACCCACTGAACCTGATGTTCACGCCATTGCTGTCCGATCTAATGTTGGCAGAGGATGCAAGTTATCACACGGCATCCATGAATATGCATTGTCGCAGCTGGGCGAGTTCCCTTTCGAGTACCAGGAGCCCTTCGTCTCTCCTGGAACGTAGAAAGGTGTGTCGAAGTCGTACACCAAGTTCTCGGCTGCCGGGGTGTGTTGCTTCCATCGTAGGCACTGCGGCTCCCTCTCGGAGCCTCTCCTCTTGGTGCTCTCCTCTTGGTGCTCTCCATCCTCCTGGACCTTCCACAGTCCACTTCGACGCTTACGAAGCACATTCAAGTGGTTGTACTGTTCCTACTTGAGAAGCCCGTGGGGGGAGGTCGTCCCACAGGGCTGAGTGCAGAGGTCGAGCTCGCAGGCCTACCTCAGCGGCCTGGGAGGCCAACAATCCTACACCATACCTAGTCGCCTCTGCCTTCAGCGGGGCCACAAACGTCGTCTGGTGCCATGCTGTCAGGAGTGAGCTAGGAGTTCGCAGTGGCGACATCGCTGGCGCATTCCCTTGAAGATCCTGCTAGTCAGAGTATATAGGATTGGCCTCCGAAGAACTATTGTTCGGGCTGCTGTGCAGGTTAACTGCTAGACTGGGCTTTGTGGTATGACAGACCGCTCTGTGGCTACGCCCTCTGGTAGAGTGTTCTTGACCTCAGCCCTGGCCGTCCTCTGCCTGCCTCCCCAACTTGATCTGTCTATCTATATCGAGTGATGATTGCGCGTTGTCAGCAGCAGGTGTGGATAAACAGATTTCTCGCAGCAGCAAGGAGTCAGCCACCGCCCTCGCCGACCCTGTCAGGTCAGAGCTGCACAGCACCAGTTGAGAGGACAAGGCCAGCTCATCTCATCATGTGTATAGTCGGGCAAGGCCTTCGTAAGCGTGTCGGAGACCTCGGCGGCAGTGCAATTCCTACGGCGGTCAACCTCGACGTTGACGGCACCGTCGGCAGGCCGCAGCGTGAACCCAAGCAGGCCCAAAAGTTTCAGCATCGCCCGGAGATCACCAAAACTAGATTGAAGCGGATTGTTCGAGCCAAGGGTGTCCTGCGTCGCCATGCTAGGAAGGCTTGTGAGTATGGAGGTTGGTATGCTTCTACTCTTCTGTGCGGAAACCACGGGGCTTCAGATTATGAGTTGTCTAATTACTGGAGGGTGATTGAAAGAGCTATGAAACCCCAATGCTGGTTTCAGGTAGATCGCCACTCTCTCCGGCCCTAGAAAACGACCCTGTCGATGTCCTGCTGTTAATCCTATGGTTCGGCACACTAAAGAAATCCTTTAGCTGTGGGAGGCGTGGACCCCCGCTCTCGACCACAGACCCGGCTTGGAGGACCTGTTCTCGGCCTCTCTGCCGAACGCATGTCCCTACTCCGCACCAAGTGCGACATGGCCAACTTCGCCACGCTCACATCGGATCATGGTGTGAAGAACAGCCTCAGCCCAAACCTCCCCAATGTTGGCCAAGCGGTTTCTGTCGCCAGGGGTCCTCAAGGAAGCTGTAAAGACCGTCAGGGCCAAACTTGGGTTTGAGGGCAGGGCTTGCTTTGACACTGTGAATGCTGACCTTCGTCCCCGCAAGGTGGCAGCCTTCCAGAAGGGATGTTTGAAGCGCTTCGCCTGCGACTGAATTTGGACGTGCCCGAGAGCGCGAGGCAAGATATTCCTTGGACGATCTTATGTGCCCCCTCTGCCATTCGAGTCCCGACAAGATCCTACACAGATTGTGGAAATGCCAAGCGGTCGCCTCTGAAAGATGTACGATCGTAAGCCCTGAGGTTGCACAGCGTGCCCTGGAGACCTATCCCGATGATGTCGATCACCAGCTCTATACTACGGCGTGCTTCTCTCACCCAGGCGATTCGTGGCCAGTTCCTGGTATGGATTGTGGTAGTCAGGTTTCTTGGACAGATGATCCAGAATCGATCAGTAGCAAGTTTTCAGGGCGCTTGTCTCAAGCCGAATACGGTGTTTTCGAATTAAACAACGCGGGTTGGGCCGTAGGCCAAATTAAACAATGTCGGTCAGCATACTTATTATACTCGTTTCTGGCCCGGTATGGGCAGACCTACCTTAAACCCTGCTGGCGGGGCAGTATTGGTCAGACGCGGCCGCCAACGAGTGTTTGGCTTTTCCATCACACCGGTACAGCGATTGCAGTAATGCTGCTAAGCAGATTGCTCAGCCAGAGGACCCCAAGACAGCTCAAAACGCCTCCAAGACGGCCCAAGAGGCCACCAAGATGGCTCCAAGAGCGTGCCCAGACGGGGGGACCCGAACGGACATTTCGAGCCCTCAGCACCGAGGTGCTCCCAGGAGGCCCCAAGAGGTTCTCAAGAGGCCCCAAGAGGCCCACAAAAAGATCCCCAGGAAGCCCGAAAAAAAAACCAAGAGGCTCCCAAGAAGCACCCAAGAGGCTCCCAAGAGGGCCCAAACCTCCTCCCCAGAGGCCCCCCGAGAGCCTTCCGAAGAGACCCCAAGAAACATCCCTGAGGACTCTGGCCCACGTCAGCGTCGTTGTCGTCGTCGCCGCCGCCGCCGCCGCCGCCGTAGTCGTCGTCGTGGTCGTCGTCCCCCGTCAGGGTCGGCGGCACCGGCCACAAGGCTCCGCAATCAAGGTAAAAAGTGCAGGCAAGTCTGGGCAAATCCCGACAGCTCGAAGTAAACCCAGAGATCTCCAGGGAGCTTTGGAGCAAATCGTGGATGGGACGCACAAGGACATACTGGTACTATGTGTCCTTCCCGGGGGTGTGCGTCCGACCCGAACATATAGTGTAACCATCTTGTCGTATATCTTCCCCCGAGCAACATGGCCAGCAAGCGCCCGCCACGGAGCTTACACTGGAAGACTTCTCGGCGCGCGCGTCGCCCCTGCGGGGGCGACCCACACATAGTATCAGTGTGTTGGGGTGACCCCGAGTGGGCGCTCCAGCGCGCGCCGAGGAGCCGCAGAAGTCGCCGTAGGCCCCGAACGACGGCGAGGGGGGGGGGGGGGGCGATGTGGGGCCCTGGAGGTCCGGGGGAGGCCCAGAGCGGCGGAGGCCCCGAGTGCTCGCTGACGGGGGGACGATACACGTGGGGTGAAGATCGGCGGAGAGCTGAGGCCGAGGCTGCGCCTGTGTCGTCCCAGGGGGGACGGCCCTACGCGGGGCTAGGCGGTGGCGCCGGGGCACCGGGGGAAGATCGGCGGAGAGGGAGGGGGGAAAGTGAGAGAAGGAGACCTCTGCGGGGGACCGAGCGACTGACCGACCAACCGACCGAATGACCGACTGGCGCGCGCAGCAACCCGAGAGGACCGCCCCGAGGCGGGCCGCGCGGCGGAGACTCGGCTCGGTCCACCGCGTTGTCTCTGGCGCGACCGCGAGCGATCACGAGCCTCGGACGGAAGGTACAGCCATCGTGCTAATTTCGCGGGCGAGCGAGGGGGGGAAGTGAGAAGGAAAAGGCCTTCTCAGAAGGCGGCGGGACTTCTCAGAAACCCTCGCGCCTTCTGCGAGGTTCCCCGCATCTTCGGGGAAGGCTTAGAAGACTTCTCGGACGGCAGGGGGACTTCCGGACCTTCTGAGAAGGCCTTCTCCTTCACACTTTCCCACCGGGCTCGCCGCCGAGTCGAGAAACGTGTGGAAGGTTCGTGTCGTGCCGACGTCGGCGTTGGTTCCTGGCACCGCGGGGATCGTTCAACTCTGAACGATCGGCCGTTTCCGAAACGTCCGATCGTCTCGGGGAGACGTGAGACTCGGGTCCAGAGGACTCGGGCTGGCCTGACGGGGCCGTGAAAAAAGTTACGAGACCCAATCTGAAACTTGACGCGAGCTCCCGCTGCCGACATCCCACAGAAGCTGAATCGCCAAAGCTCAAGACGGGCACGTCAAAAAAAGTAGGCAAACCCGAGTTCTAGCGAACCCGAGCCTGACGCTTCCCCGACTCTTTTTCCGCCGCAGTGCCTCCACCCTCCTCAGCTTCCCTCCTTGCGGTCTCTCGGAAATGCCGTGGCCAGCGTCCGCCGCCAGGCCACGGTCCACGGGCATGGCGAGCTCACGCACCAGAAACGTGCAGCTGTCGTGCACCTCTGGGGCCCGCGGAGGCAGCTTAGGGGGGCCCTGTAGTGCCCCTTTAGGGCCGCTTTTTTCTGCAGTCCTCGATCCCGACCCGCTGCCTCGCATCCGATAGACCAGCAGGCCGCTTCTCGGCGCACGCAAGCCATCGCAAACCCACTCACCAGGCAAGCCCCCATCGCGACCCGCCGACAGCCCGATAAACGTCACCCGGCAACGCGTGCAAACTGACGGAACTCGAAGCGGAGCCGTAAAAACGGACGAGGGGGGTGCAGTGCAGTCCCGCTCGCGCGGCGGGGAGGCCGCGGGCGGCCAGCCTGAGCGGCGGTGGCCTGCTCGCTGCTCTCCTTCACCTTCGACGTCACCTGGGTCGGGGCCACGCACAGGGGAGACTCGAGGCTCGAGGCATTTGAGGCGTTCGGGCGCTTCTGTTGGCTCTCGGAGGCTTTCTGGCCTCGGGATGCGTTCCAGCGGCTGCGCCTCGCCGAGAACGTTCGGGAGGGTCCCAGATCGTCCCGAACGGCCGCGAGAGGCCCGAGTTATGACCTGAAAATCAAGGGGTAACATCAGGGGAGAAAGGCTCAGGGATGGATACATCGACCGCCAACCGCCCAGTCATCGCCGAGAGGACCTGATAGCCCAACCCGAAGTATGACCCGAAAACCATCGGGGACCAGACCAGGGGGCTAAACGTGGAGCTGGAATCGGCGATAGATCGTCGATAAGGCCCCCGATAGCAGATCCGCACGTTCCTGGGCGGGGTGGGCTATCAGGCCCCTGTCGGCGATGAGTGGGCGATCGGGGGTCGATGCATCCCCCCCTGAGTCTACCGCCCCCGTAACGTTGTCCCGGAACCTGCGGCGCTCCGGAAACGAGTCTCGCCTTCGAGCGGCCGAACTCTTCCTCCCCAAACCCCCGGACCCCCGACGTCCTGAATGTGTCCAAACGTCGACCTCCAAAGGTCTGGACCCATTCCCCGGGACCAGCTTTTCATCCTGAATCGTTTTCTAGAAAGGTCCCGGGCCCAGCCAGCGAGGGCCCCCGGAGGCCAAAAACTGCCAAAAACCTTCGGTCAGGATTTCTGTCACGACGCGAGGGGGTCTGTCTCGCAGGAGAAAGAGGGAGAGAGAAATAGACAACGCACATGCGCGGGGAACACGAGTGCGCTGGGGGCCCCAGGCCTGGCCAAAATCGCCGCGCTTCCCGAAAAGTCGGCGGCAAGCGAGGAGGGAGCGAGGAGGAGGAGAGACCTTCTCAGAAGGCGGCGGGGCTTCTCGGAAGCCCTCTAGCCTTCTGCAAAGTGTTCTGCGCCTTCGGGGAAGGCTTAGATAACTTCTCAAGGCCAGGGAACTTCCGAGCCCTCTGAAAAGGCCCGCCCCCTCTCACTGAACCCCTGGGCTGGCCGCCGAAAAACGAGGACCCCAGAACACCCTGTGAGCACAATCGATCGGAATTCGGGCCAGCACACGCATTTTTCAGCCGGCGGCGCAGAAGGACCTCAGGCGTGGTCGGCAGGTGGAGGTGCCAAGCGCGAACGAACATTGTCGAACGCGCCATGATGAAAGAGCCCAGCCACGGCCATGCAGATTGGTGGTGAAAGACGAGAGGCGCTTCAATGCCAAAACGCAGCAGCCGAAAAAAACGAGGAACATAAGCTCGACGCGGGTAGTTTGAAGCACCAGCAGCAGTCTGGTGCGAATTCAAGCCTCAAAGAGACAGCAACAAAAAAAACAACTCTAAGGCTGCCAGACCAGCCAACCTGGTGGCGGTGCATACACGCAGGGAAACTGCGCGACAAAGCAACGCCACCGACCTTGTAGCAAGCAAGTATAACGGAGGGAGCGACTGTGCAACAGGGTGCATGAGGTCGGCGTGAAGGTCAGCACACACACACGCACACACACCGTGCACCGATGCTGGGCCCAAGACGGGCCTGGCCGGGACCGGTGAGTGTGTGTGTATGTGCGTGGGCCTCTTCGCCCGACCTCGGCGGAGGGGCGGCAGAGGACCGGCGGCAGCAGGCGGAAGTAACGCGGGGCTCTGGTGGCGGAAGCCGGCGAAGGCCGGCGGAAGCTGGCGGAGGTATACGCAGACAGCATCTATGCGCCACCGCCGTGCCTGGCCAGGGGTATACCCAGGGCCCTAGCATGGTATATACGCCCCCTGGCCGAGGCCAGGAGGGACTATACACCATCGTGGATCCCAGGGTGGACATGGCCAGGCACGGTGGTGGTCTACAGCTGCCCTGGCCATCGTGGTTGCGGTGTCCGTACCTTTCCCTCCTCTGAGGTTCTATCAGCCTCCCACTTCCCCCTCCCTTCGTCCGATCCGAGCTTCTCTCAGGACCCCTCTGCTTCATGACGGCCAGCCCTGGCGCGCTCGGCTCTGGACCCTCCTGGGGTCCATCCTGGCCCGCTTCGTCGAAGCGGATCCAGCCATGGCGATGAGAAGCCTTCGTGGAGGCCTAAAGAGCACGCAACAAAAATAACGCCAGGGCGGGCCGCCATTATCTCGACTGGCCCTCCTCCGACCCAGACCCCCGACGTCATGCTTCTTCGGCCCCCAAAAGTCTAGACCCGTTCCCTGGGACCGGTTTTTTATCCTGAGCCGTTTTCTGGTGGCCCCGAGGCCCAGAGCAAGGGCCCCGGGAGGCCGAGAGTCCCGAAAGATCCTCCGTCGTGGTTTGTCTTCCCGACGCAGGGAGGTCTGGGCATCAGACGGCCCTCCTCGACGGGACCCCAGTGATCCCACGGATGGCAAAAATTGACCGACCCTACCCGCTCTACCCTCAACCCTAAGTTCTTGCCTTCGGTGAGCTTATTGCCGCCCTCCCGTTGCAAACATGCCGTCGCAGACGTTTGGCGGAGGAGCGCTCTGGCGGGAGCTCGAAACGTCCCTTGCACCAGCAGACTGACACAACTCTCCTGCCGATCATCCAGAGGCCCTCCTCCACGGGCCTCCGCTCCACGGCGACCTGCCCTCGCGCGCCCAGGCCGCAGAGGGGCCTGCCTTCGGCGGCCGCCTGCCCGCCATGCTCCTCCTCCTCCTCCTCCTCCTCCTCCTCCTCCTCCTCCTCCTCCTCCTCCTCCTCCTCCTCCTCCTCCTCCTCCTCCTCCTCCTCCTCCTCCTCCTCCTCCTCCTCCTCCTCCTCCCATATCTCGACTGGCCCTCCTCCGATCAGACGGCCCTTCTCGAATGGACCCCTCCGCTCCCGCGCGCGGCTGGCCCGCGCGCGCGCCCCGCGGCCGCATGCGGGGCCCGCCTTCGGCGGCCGCCTGCCCGCGGTGCGAGGCCGCTCCGGGCGGGCCTGCGCGTGGCTGGCCGAGTCGTCTCCGGGGTCCACGTCCTCGCCCGGAAGGGGCGGGCGGAGGGAGGGAGGACCCAGAGATCCCAGCGTCGCAATTTTTTCGAGCCGTGCGTTTTGGTCCGTTTTCGGGCCCTGGGACCCTCACAGAACGATCTGGCTCGAAGAATGGCGCAGAAATATGGGGTCCAGGGTTCCAGGCGCGAGCGTTGACGATGTTAAAACTTTTTCGCGACGTCGGCTTTGAGGGGACGAGGAAGGGCCCCTCCAAGGCCTCTCTGGTGCCGCCGCATCGCTCCATCTGTCTGGTCATCCTTCTTGCTCGCGGTCGTGGTGGTGGGCTGGGAGGAGCACCACGGGGACTCATGGGGAGGAAGCCTCGTCCACCGTGCCACCCGCTTCTCCGAGCTTCTGCTGCTCTCGCTGGCGCGTCCCAGCGAGCTCGAGGCTGCCTTGCCTGTCGGCCGCGGGTCCCGCGGCCGCTCCTGGCGCTCCAATCGCCGTGAAGGCTGCGCAAGAAAAAGGATTGGCGGCGAGCGAGGGAGGGAAGCGGCGCAGAGGAGACCTTCTCAGAAGTCGGCGGGGCTTCTCTGAAGCCCTCGGGCCTTCTGCGAAGTTTTCTGTATCTTCGCGGCAGGCTCAGGAAACTTCTCAGAAGGCCGGGGGACTTGCGATCCTCTGAGAATGCCCGCCCCTTCTCACTTCCCCCCGGGCTCGCCGCCGAAAGGAGGGGCCCCCACCTCCTCTCTCGTTGTGGAGGCGCTGTCGGTGCAGGAGCGAAGTGGCAGGGACGAGGAAAAGGGCGAAAAAAAAGCGAAAGCAAGGACGAGGTGGAGAAGGGTGAGGAGGGCACAGAAAGATCTGTGGAGGTGCCGGAGAGAGGTGGCGGAGGAGGTGGCGGAGCTGGAGGGTTCAGACCCCAGAAGGCTCGAACGACGTCTTCCTATGTCATGCTGGTCCAGCTTCTGGGGCCGCGGCATGAGCGACGCTTTGCAATGAATTCACAACGGACCGTTTTTGGCCATGTCCGGCCTCCGGGGGCCGACGAGGGCGGCCCTGGGAAGGGCTCCAAACCTCACGGGGTCTACGTCGGGAAAAAAACACGACGAAAGTCGCTCGGACGCGGCACTGCAGAAGTCTGCGCGCCGACCATGGAGTGGCTCTCTGAGTAGGGGGCCACATGTGAACCCTACCCCTACGCCCCACGATTTCTGAGGGGGAGGGTGGGGTTCACTTCGTCCGGGAGCTCCCGAGCGAAGTGAACCCCACCCTCCTCCTCAGAAATCGTGGTGGGTAGGGGCAGGGTTCACATGTGGCCCCCTATCTCTGACTTCCCAAGGGGCCGCGGTAGGAGCGGGGTGCGGCCCGCCCTGCGCGCGCGCCCCCCCGGGAGCGAAGGGGGACACCCAGGGAGGAAGGGGGGAAGGGAGGAGTCAGGGAGGGAGGGGGCGGGAGGAGTCCGGGACACTCGGGGAGGAGTCAGGGAGGGGGAAGGGGCACACCCAGGGAGGAAGGGGGTCTGAGGGGAAGGGAGGGGCCCCACCTCAGACCGCCAACGCCTGGCGGCCCAGTATCCAGGCGGAGCGGACGGGAACGGGGCGGGAGAGTCGTCGTCTTAGACGTGGCGCTGACCACCGAGCACGATGGAAGTGTGCAGCGGGAGCTCCGCTGCAAGCCGCAGGAAAATGTATGTGCACGGGCCCAGGCGTAATTCCTCATCCCTCTGATTTGAGCTCGGAGGTGAAAGGGTGCTTAAAAAGAGTTGGTGCGACAGACAAGTTCAAACATGATGTAATGAGGCACGCAGACTTTTTGATCGGCAAAGTACAAAAGATGCTACTCCGCAACCAGCTGCTACGGAGTGCTGTGTGACCTTACGCAGGAGGGCAGCGGACAGACAGTCTTCACCCGCAGCCGCTGCACTGAAGTATTATTCCTCAAAGTGCCCTCTTCTTGGAGCATTTGCCCAGCTGCTGTCCAGAGGGCGCCGATGGGCGAACGAGCACTTGCTAGAAAAAAATGCTCCACCAGCGTAACGCGAAACACGTTTCCCATACTTTTACGCATACCATATATCCAAAAACTGGAAACCTAGGCTAAGGTAGGGAGGGCCATGGCTTGTCTGAAGTTCCAGTATGACTTCTTGCGCACGTGTCGGGTCGGGGCAACGCGTGCATACCATATCCCTTTTGCATGCACATCGTCAGTACGTAGTCAGTTTGGCCCAGAAGCGTCCTACGAGGGACAAGCGCTAGTCCGATACTAGCAACAAACTGCATCGACGTGCTTTGAGCGTCCGTCAGGATTGCCTTACCTCGATCGAGGAGGTCGAGAAGGGAGTGGGGGCAGGCACGGGAGGGAGGGCCCCAAACCTCCTCGCGGCCTGAATCACCTCACGACGGGAGGCTTGCGGACATGTTCGGCATCCGGGGGCCCTCGCCTGGCCCCTGGAGTGTAAAAACAAGGCTGAGCATGAAAGATGCGCCCCAGGGAAAGGGTCCAGACCGATGGGGAGCCAGGCCATGACAAAAATGCGACGGTGAATGTCCGGGAAGGAGGGATGAAATACAGGGAGAGGGAGGGAGGGAGGGAAGGGAGCGAGGGAGGGAAAGAAGGGAGGGAAAGGAGGGAGGGAAGGGGGGGGGAGGGAGGGAGAGAGGGAAGAAGGGAGCGAGGAGGGAGGGAGGGAAGAAGGGAGCGAGGGAGGGAGGGAGGAATGAAGGGAGCGAAGGAGGGAGGAGGGGAAGGGGAGGAGGGAGGGAGAGGGAGGAGGAGAGGAGGAGGAGGAGGAGGAGGAGGAGGAGGAGGAGGAGGAGGAGACCAGGAGGACCAGTGCAAACGCCGTGCCTATCCTAGGCGGGGGGGGCCCGTCCGCGGCGCGCGCGGCGCCGTGCCATCGGGCCTCCCGCAGGGAGGGCGCGGCTCAGCGCGGCGGGCGGCCCGCCGCCCCGCGCAGGGCAGGCAGGCCGAGAAGACGGCCAAGAGGAGGAGGCGCTCTCCTGCCTGGCACCGCCGAGCCAGGCGGTTTCGTGCAGCTGCTCGTCTGGCTCTACGACTCGATCGAGCCCGACGCGTACTGGCACAGCATCATTCCACGGGTGCTATGGCTCAGAAAGGTGGACACCGAGGCGCTGCAGCACATGCTGACCGATCGAGCGCAGGAACGCCCAACTGAAGTGCATTGACTGTGGTAACCTGAATCATCGTGATGATCAGTGCAGAAATCGTAAGTGTGGCATATATTATAGGCAGCATTGACAAAGAGCACATGATGAAGGATTACGTTCCAGAGAACCGGCCAGGCTCAAGGAGGATGTCAAAAAGCTGTGTTCAGGGGTGTACGATGTGCATCACCGAGTATGCGAGAAAGACCAACTGCTATCGCATACCCCCATCGGGGCAAGGTGCTCTAGCAAGGCAGCGGGAAGAGTTGCATTCGATATTGAATACCTTGGTAGAGATCGTGACCAAAGGCAAGAAGGCCATGACCAGAACGCAGGCACAGCAAAAGGAGATGGCCATCATCAAATACATACTTTGGGAGACGAAGACGCCAGTTGCGAAAGAAAAGGAAGCACAGGAGGCAGTTTTCGGAGACAGTCGCGGAGGACAGTCTTCGGAGGCAGTACGCGGCGATTGAGACTGATCTGTTGTTGGAACAGCAGGCTGTACTATATTGGCAGGATCTGGCAAGAGAGGCACAAGGAGGAGACAGGTCAACGCTGTCGTCGGAGGATGTAGGTCATAATCGTCGCAGAGCTCTTGCAGCTACAGTCCCTCATGTTGGAGCAGAAGGCCTGACAAAAGATGCAGGACCTCCACCACCTCCACCACCGCCTCCGCCTCCATGCTCAGCAGCACCGCGCATTGCCGCCTCGGGCCCCGTACAACCACCACCCAAGCACGAAGCCAGAGGGGGCCCAGGCACACCGATTGTGGACGGCAGGTACACACGATGTCACTCCCCAGCAAGTATGCAGTCCTGGGCCCGTGGAGAAGGTATCAATCATGAATCAGTTAGGCAGGCAGAATGCAACACAAGATGTGGCGCGAGTTGCAGCACGAGGCGCGGCGCGGTCAGGAGCGCGGGATCCAGATCACGGGCGAGCTGACGAAGCGGATGAGATAAGGAAGCAGTTAGCAAAGCTCAGGGAGCTACAGTCTGAAGCACGGCACCACCTGCAACAACAGAAGCTACGGGACGAGGGATACAAGGCGCCCGCCCGAAGCGTTCAGCCGAGGGAAGCTCAACTAGAGTATAAAGAGGGACAGGTACGAGCAGCTGCGGCACAGCATCATGGACTTGAGCTTCGAGAACAGCAGCGGCGCTTTGACTTATACCGTCAACAGGCAGACCTGCAAAAAAACAAGGACGGAGGCACGGCCGAAAGGCGAGCTGGAACAGCGTCAGCAGACTCTCGAGGCACAGAAGGCGAAGGCTGATCGACCCCAGTTCGACCGTCAGGAGCAACGAGCTCGCAGCGATGCGATGACGATGGCCAAGGTGAGGACCTTCCAGGAAGAAGCTGTTCGTGAACTACAGAGCCGCAGGGCAGAGATGGATGGGCAATATGGGAAAAATGGCCGACCCTTGCGAGTGAACAACAAGAAGCATGTACTCATGCGGTGCAGGCCGTTCGAGAAGCTGATGAGGAGGTACCGCGCGCGGGCGACTGAGCTCCACGCGGCGCAGCAGTCGGAGAAGGCCACGGAAGGAATAAGGTTACAACAAAAATCACCCGCCAGGTTCGGCGACAGGTCCTGTTTCGGCGACATCGACGTCGGCGGCTACGGTGCATTCTGAGTTGGGCTATTACATGGCACCTACAGCTTAACCAGGGACAGTGGCCGCAGCCGCTCCACCGAAAGGATCTGCGGAGACGGTTGGAACTTATGGACCAAATCGTTCACGGCAAACATCTGTTGCACCGCAGGTTAGCTTGAGCCAGGTCGGGATCGTTTCATGGGCAACTCCAATTAGACAGGCCAAGAGAAAGACGCATTCCGACCCGCGCTCCGAACCTTCAACGGCAACCATCGAG